TTTGCCGCTGGAAGAACTGCATGCCCCCCACTTCAGCAGATGCTGGTGAGCATCTGTTGGGGGCCAAGGGGGCTTGGAGACCGAGGTGAATGCCTGGAATCCCACCCATGGCTTCCCTAAGGAGGGCAGACCCAGGATGAGAGGTCTCGGGGAGGGTGCCAGTCTATGATACTCGGAGCTGGGAGGGAGTGGAGAAGGGGAGCCTTGGGAGACAGAGTCTGGGGTCTGGGAAGCTGTGGCCTGGGCATCTGGACCTGTGGGGTAGGAACAATTTTCCAAAGTTACTGTGCCTGCCACGGAATTGGACAACCAAGTCCAAGAGGTAGAAGTTTCTCATTCACTGTCATCATCATCACTTCCTGGCCCCCCTTCCAGGAAACCAGGGGCTGCACTGGGGCCCACAGAGGTGTTGGGTGGTTGGTGGTGGTGTTACTGCCGGACTGGGCTCCTTTTCCTTCTGGCCCTGCCTCTGAGAGATTTTTCCCTCCCATTCCAGGACTATAGGCATCAGGCAGGGAAACTCTCACAAGCCCTCCAACCCCCAGCTCCTCCCAGCCCCTAGCTCTGGGCTCAGATTCCCAGAGGGCTCAGAGTCACATGGGCCAGTGCACCTGTAACCATCTAACCCTGCAGAGGAATGATTAGGGAGGCACGTGTCCTCCTGTCTGTCCAGCCTGAGGCCTCAGGCTTGTGGAGGCTGGAGAGCTGGGAGGGAATAGGGCCTTTTCTCCTCAGGCCTCCCTGAAGGACAGAAGTTTGTCCTTTGGGCACACAAGAGCCCACTGAGGTGCTTCTGGCTTCAGCTCTCACACTGTCCAGTAGCTGGTGCCCTTGGAATGCCGGTAGTGAGCTGCATCCACCCAGGAGTTTCTAGAAGCTTCGAACTGGGAGAGGTGGTTCAGGCTGTGCTGTCAGTAGTGCTGCTCGCTTGGAGAGAAGGCCTCCTCCTTCCCATCAGTGGTATGCAGGTGGCAACAGGGTAGAGCAGAAAGTAGACTCACTTCGGTTTGGCAGTCCGGGGTTCAAATGCAGCCAGATCAACCGCTCAGACCCCCCTTCTCCTCACCTGTTCTGCAGAGTGGGGATAATAGCACCCCGTTCCTGCTCCGGCCTCATGGGCCCTAGAGATGTTGCTTCTAAAGGGCCTGGTGAATGTCAGTGCACGGGGGCCCTCGGGGACGGGCAGGTGTAAGTCAGGTGCTGCTCCCGTCCCCGCCGCCCCCCTCCTCTCATACCTGCATCTCTCAGGAGGGCAGACTGGGTGCTGGAATCCCCAGAGCCCCTTTTCTGGGAGGTGGGCCCCATTCCCTCTTCTGTGCTCAGCTTGTCGGCTGCCACCTCCCTACCTGTGCTGAGCCGCTTCCTCTGCGGGCAAACAGGAAGTCCCTTCCCTTGAGGGAGGCAGGAAGGGGCTGCCTGGCAATGCTGCGTGGCCCAGGGCTGTGGCCTGGTCAGGAGGCTGGGTGTCCTCCAGGCGTTGGGGAGGGGATGGTGGGCTGAGCACAGGGAGGGGAGGTAGATCAAGGCTCAAGCCATCAGAATCCTGCCCTCATCCAAGCCCCACAGCCACTGAGCTGGTGCCCTCCTTGCCTGTGTCCAGGGAGCCCCGCCTCCAGAGTTTTAGTCCTGGCGACCTTGGGAAGGAGATGAGAGCTTTAGGAGATGGAAGGGAGCTGGTGGCTGCTCAGGTTAGGGCATCTGTTTTTGGAGATTGCAGGAAAGCCCCACACCGCCAAACACATGTCCTGTATGCCTGCAGACTAGCCTCACAGCCTGGGAGGAAAGAGGGGGCACATTCCCTCTCCCGTGGCATTGTCCCCAAACGATCAAGGAGAAGACGACGAGTTGCTTTCCCTCATTCATTCATCAAGTGGCTGTGGGCACTTAGGAGCTAGGCCTCTGCTGCACAGCCTCGGTGCTCCACAGCTGAGCGGCCGGGCCTTGCCCTTGAGAAGGTCACATGGTAGGGAGCATATGGGCTCACAAACACGAGGAACAGGCAGTCACGGGACCCGCTCGTGCCAGCATCCCTGCGGTTGCGTCCAGGCTGGACTGCAGGGGGCAGCCCGGAGTTGGGGTCTGGGAGGTGACCCCAGGTCCTCACCTCCTCTTCAGTCCCCACCTCATGGCCACTGGCTTTGGCGCCCCTCGTGCCTCCTGCTCCCCCAACCCTACCTGTACATGACCTCCGTGCGGCCACATTCGATGACCACTTTGCACCTTATCTTCTTAGCTTTCCTAGTAGTATTTGACATAGCTGACCACTTCCTCCTTCTAGTTATCGCCTCCTCTTGTCTTCGGTGATGACACCCTCTCCATGTTTCTCTCTTCTCCTTGGCAGCCCCTCCTCACTCCCCTCTGCAGGCTTGTCCCTCATAGTCTCCACTGGCCGCTGTTTAGCCCCTTCGTGCTGCTCACATGCGTTCACCTTGGCAGCCCGGCCCTCCCATCCCCTGCAGGCCTGGTTTCAGGAGCCTGCTTGAGTTTTGCAGGTATCTCAAACCTGATACTTTGAAAAGCAAACTCGGGATTTTCTCCCCTAAGCCTCATCTCCCCCATCCTGCTATTTCTGCGAATGCCATTTGTCCCATCTGGTCGCTGTAGCCAGGAATCCAGAGCTTGCCCCCACCCCCCGATGGCAGCTGGCCTGCCCACTTAGCCCAGTGTGTATCCCAAGTCCTCTGGCTACCCTGCTCTGCCCTTTCTGCCCTGCTCCAAGCCTGCCTCCCCAGGAATATGGAGCTTCCGCTGGTCTCCCTGCTCTCGGTGAGCCCTTGGCTGGCTCTTGTCTACACAGCAACAGATGATCTTACAAACCGACAAAGCAGTGCTCCCTGACCTGTCCCTTCCCTGCTTAGCCTGCATGCTGGCTGCCCACTGGGGACCCCCTGGCATCCGGTCCTGCCTCTCCTGCCTCCTCTTCTCCTACTATCCCCTGAGCTGGCTGACCAGCCACACTGGCTTGCTTTCTGTCCCCTTAACTCATGGAGAACTTTCCAGTCTCAGGCAAGGAATTAGACATGTTGGCCCCCCTTTACCAGGGTATACAGGCCCCCACGAGCAAGGCTGATCTCCTGCCTCTGTCCCTGCTGCTGGCCCTCCATGCTCCCCGCTCTGTTCTACTTCAGCGTCTGTCACAGTTTACAATCAGATATTGAAGACTTAGGCTGTTTGTCTATTTTCTGCCCCCGTCACTAGATTGGACACTCCCTGGGGACATATGTCCTGTGTTTTATTCCTGAGGGGTCAGCAGCTTCTCACATAGGGACTGCAGGAGGAGTGGGTGCCCTGCCAGCGTGGGGGCCCTGGGAAGTCCGAGGCCTTGGTGGAGGGTTTGCATTTAGGGTGAGGTGACTTTGGGTTTCTGGTATACACACCTGGGCACAGTTCTATAAAATCCCGAATACAGAAGGAGGGGCTGCCTGGGGTGGTGACGAACCAGGTTAACATTGCACTAAGTCTGAGGCACTTGCGAGATAAGCCTGCCCTCCCGTTGGGCAGGCCCAGAGAATGAACAGTGGAGGGCCCCATCGGATGTGTTCGAATATGTAAAAATTACAACCGCAGCTGACAAAGTGTTTTGTAAAGTGTCCTATCCTCCTGCCTCCCATCTTTTTTTTTTTTTTAAAGATTTTATTTATTTATTTGAGTGAGAGAGAGAGGCAGTGAGAGAGAGCATGAGTGAGGAGAAGGTCAGAAGGAGAAGCAGACTCCCCGTGGAGCTGGGAGCCCGATGCGGGACTCAATCCAGGGACTCCGGGATCATGACCTGAGCCGAAAGCAGTTGTTCAACCAACTGAGCCACCCAGGCGTCCCCTGCCTCCCATCTTAATAGTGACCTGAAGGTCCAGGTTTGAATTGAGCTTCTCGGCCTCCTGCAAATGTGGCTACTGCATGCAGCTGGGCCCATTTCCAGCCTCCAACCCCTGCCGTTCCCCGCCTCCCCTCTCCCTTCTCTACCCTGTACCACAATGCATGGGGAGGGCCACCTGCCTACAGGTGCAAGTGCGGTCCACACCCCTCCCCGTCTCAGAGAGGGTGGTGCACAGAGAAGTGAAGCAATGCCTCATGGCAGGCAGATGGCACGTGCCCACCCCCCACTGCCCCCCAAGCAAAGAATTCCAGGCTCCTGGGTGCTCTGAGTGTGGTGGGGAAGGGGCTGGTAGACATGGCTTTGTAGGGGAGGGACACAGCTGGAGGAGGGGTAGAGCTGGAGCTAGGGCCTATAAACTACGGTCTGGGGTGGCCTGGGTCAGAAGGCGCTCTGCTTCTGGGACTCCCAAGTGGCAGGGTCTCTGGGGCACTCAGAATTATGCGGCCCGGAGCTTGAGGGGCGGGAGACAGGGGCTTTAGAGCCTCAGCAGGGATGTTGGTGGTGGTTGTTCAGAGGGAGAAGAGACTGGTGCATGAGCGTGGCTCCCCACCAGCCTCTGTCTCTCACTCGTGGACACCTGGGACCTGTGTCCTGCAGACACCCATTGGGAATTCAGCAATAGGGAATGGATGGCAGTTGGTTCTCTTGGTCAGACACTCTGAGTTCTAACTTCAGCCTGTGTGACTGTAGGCAGCAGCATAACCTCTCTGAGCCTGCCTCCTGTCTGTAATGGACATAGCAATGCTTCATAAAGTAGCTGAGAGGGGTGGCTGAGGTGCTACCGGAGGACGCTTTGTAAAGCAAGACAACGGCATTCGGCTCCTCTGTTACCTACGGGAGAGGAAGCCACGCAGAGTTCCCAATATCATTTATGCAAAAAAAAAAAAAAAAAAAAAAAAAAGAAAAGAAAAGCTGCCAGGCCCAGGGCCCTCCTCTGTCCCCCAGGGACTGCCAGCTGGGGCAGAGATGAGAACCTGGGGACAACCACAGGGAGGAAGGGGGTGGGGTCTGTCCACAGCCGAAGGCGCAGCACCTTCCCCTTTCTCTCCCTGGGCCCTTGACTGGGGCCCTTGACTGGGGAGAAGGGCGTTGGCGCTTCTCTCTGGGCCTGGTGCAGGGTAGGGGCCTCCAGGCAGTGGGCGGCCTGGGGAAGGGGGCCAGAGGCAGTGGGCCTGGGAATGGAGGCGCTTGTCTTGTGGGCAGGAAGTGTGAGGTGGCAAGCAGCTCAGGAGCCCTGGGGAGGCCGCTGGGTGGGAGGGCTGAGCGTGCGGTGGTGAGGGGAGCGGAAGTCGGAAGCACCGGCAGCCACATTCTCCATTCACTGGTGGACGGCCCTTGTATCGGGAAGGTCTGCTTGCCCTCTCCCAGGGCCTTTGGAGGTGAGCAAGGTGGGCCTGCGGGGGGTGGCGGCCGGGAGGGAGCTGGGGGGAGCAGGGGATGCGGAGAGTCCCGTGTGGGCCCTTGTGGTAGCTGCTGGGGCAGGTGGACAGGAAGGAGGACTCTGTGGGCCCACTGTGTCCGTACCTTCTGTGGGCCTGGCAGGGCTGGAGCGGTCACCCTTGTCTTCCTTCTCGCTGTCCCCCTCCTTCCTCAACCTACCCCTCCCAATCTGGCCCCCACTTACCCTGGCCTCTCCAGAGCCGCTGAGGGGGGGTAATCTGCCGTTATGGGGGGGAGGGGCTCCTTCCTGAACCTCTTGTGGGCCTCCCTGGGTCCCTGGTGATGACTGTGAGGCGGTACCCAGTGAGGGGTTCTGTGGCCAGAGGCCTCCAGTGAGCCTTGGAGAGGCTGAAGAGAAGGAAGCCAGGCAGGCCTGGGCTTTGGGTGGGGGGGCAGCTCTGGGTGCAGTCACTGTGGGAGATCAGACACAGAATCCACCATGAGGGGGCTCCTGGTTCTACCTCGCCTTCCGCCGTACTCCGAGAGGCTGGGTTGGTGCTAGGGACGCCAGTAGCCGGCTTGCCAGGGCAGCCGATGTTTCGACCCATTGACCTTAGGTGCGACGGCCATCATTTTACTCACAGACGCCTCCCTGTTCGGGACATTGAGGCCTTCTGCTTGTAGCTGTCAACCTCATGGTAGACGGGAGTCTGCCAGAGGGAAGGTCCTCCTAGGGCCTAAGATCGTATGGTTGGTGTCACTCCTCTGCTGAAAAGGCAGGGGAGAGTGACCTGTCAGCTGATAGTAATACCCCTCAGGCCTGTTGAACCTTAGCCAGGTTGAAAGTAATGTGCCTCAGAGGGTCCTATCTCCCCAGCCTTCTGGAGCTTCAGAACATCCCAGAACTGCTGCTTTCTACAGATGAGGAACCACCCAGCATAGGGCTTAGAACCTGGGCGGTGGGCTCTTTGGGGAAGGAGGGGGGGGACCCAAGAAGGGGTGAGAGTGGTCCAGCCTGGCCTTGAGCCCTCCTCGGGGTCCTTGTCCTTCCCAGGAGGCAGCTGCTCTAGAGACGCATCGGTGCTCTGCCCCCATTCTCTCTATACCCCAGCATCTCTGTCCCATCCTCTCTGCCCTCCATCTTTTCTGTCTTCCATTATCTCTTCCCCCACCCTCTCTGCCCCCATCTTCTCTATATCCCATCCTCTCTGCACCCTCTCTGTTCTCTCTCTCTGCCTGAGCCCCAGCTGACACCCACCCCCCCCGGGGCCCTTGCCCCCCCGCCCCCCCCCCCCCCCCCCCCCCCCCAACCCCGGTGCACACTTGCATGAAGTCTTCTTCCGTGTGGGCAGGATGTGGGGCTGCCCCTAGTGCTGTCTCTCATGGCGCCCTGGCCCAGGTTCAGGCAGGAGCATCTGTCTTGTAACTCCAGATAAGAACCTTCTCTATTCCTCTGCCTTCCAGGATGACATCCCTCACCTGGCTTCTCCTGAGGGCTGTGTGGGCACAGGCTGCCTCCTAAATCCCTGGGTGGGCGAGGAGCCTTTGCTTTTTCCATTGGAAGGAAAAATTGCCATGGCAAAAGGAAGGAGTGTCTGCTGAGTCTGGAAGCTTAAACGGAGTGAGGGACAGAGATGGGAGGCTCCAGGAGGAGGCTCAGTGCCCAGGGAGCCCACTGGGAGGGTTGTCTGTGTGCTTGTTTGTTTTGGCTTCTTGAATGACCAGCAAAGGAGCAAAGTTGAACTGAATAGGACGTGCTGTTTCTGAGCACCTACCAGGGGGCCGGGCCAGCAGCAGCAGCTCCCAGACGCGTTCTGCTTTATCACAGATCTATAGAATAGCTTGACTCCATCTTATTTCCTTATTTTATAGATAAGGAACCAGGCAAAGTTTTTGACCAGAGTCACAGAGCTGTCAGTTGTAGGCAGGACTTGAGTGAGTCTCGTCCGTGAGCCTCCAGGCAGAGGGGGCTGCAGACATTCAAGGCACCATCTCCCCCCTCGGGGCAGGGTCTCCTCCAGCCTCCTGTGGTCTCCGTGTACTAGAGGGTACAGGCTGTGTGCCCAAGCAGAAAGCTGGGGGCGGGGGTGGTGAAAAGCAAATCCACTCTCCAAATTACAATCCAGGAGCCAATGGGTCTCCTCGCCCCCAAGATCAAGACAGTGTTGCACTGAAGACAGGGCAAGGTCAGGTAGGGGTGGAGGGACTTACGCCCCCTTGATCCCCCAGCAGTCAGATTCTGAGTCCTGTACTCCCATCAGCCAGGCGCTGCTTGGCCCCAGCAGTTTTCTCCACTAAGGTAGAGAGGGGGTGTCCCCCCCACCTCCTCCCTCTCCGCCAGCCTCAGCTCCTTCCCATTCCTTCCGCTCACTGTCTGAAGAGCTCAGAGCATTTTGTTGGATTCCAGAGTCATTCCACTTCTCCTGGAACTTATCCTTCCATTCCACAAACCATCAAAGGGCCACTTTATTTTTTTAGGTGAACAAAACCCACCTTATGAGGCATGTGGCAGACCTTTTTCCTCCTTTGTTCTGGTTAGGATACCTGAGACAAGCCATTTCAACAGAGATTTCACTGAACACCGGGGCTGAGAAAAGAAAGTAAACCAAGAAAATTCTAGGCGCTGGAGACCTGAGCTTCTGGTCCCCAGTTCCTGGCCCACCTCTGCCTAAAAGGTGCCACCCTCCCTCCAGGAAATAGAAACCCTTGCCCCACCCTTGACCCTGGCCGTGTCAGCCTGCCCCCACTCAGGTGAGTGGTGGGGCTGCCTTGATGGCCATAGGAAGTGACCTTACCCCCCAGTTCATCCTATCGCTTCATTCAGGGAAGAGCAATTTAAAAAGGAGGTGAGAAAGAGAGAGGAGACGGGGAAGAGAAAGAGAAAGAATGAGAAGAAGAAAGGGGGCAGGGGAGGAGAGACACTTCTTAAATCCTCAGTGACAGTGGCCTTGCACAGGCAGAGAGCCCAAACAAGGTGATTGAGTGGGTGGGTCTTCCTCACGTCTCCTCCTCTCTATCCAGCTGCTGTGTGGGAGCCAGGACCCATACGAACATTTTGGTTCCTGGCCTGGCAGGACCTCACCTCTGGGAAAGCTCTGCCTCAAGGGCACTGGGCTTCCTGGGAGGAAGATGGCAGACTGCCCTTGGGAGGAAATCGTGAGGTCAAAATGATGCTTAATCTCCTCTAAGCCTCAGTCTTCCTAGTCCTCTAGTAAGATCTTTGAGGAGGGGCTTTCTGAGGATCCATCCTTCCCATCCACTCATCCATCCATCATCCATCCACCCATCCCTCCATCCTTCCCTTTTATCCATCCATCCATCCACCCATCCATTCATCATCTATCCATCCATCCATTCATCCATCCATCATCCTTCCTATCCATCCATCCATCCATCCATCCATCCATCCATCCATCCATCCGTCGTCCTTCCCCCCATCCTTCCATCCATCCCTCCCTTCCAGCCAACCATCGATCCATCCGTCTATCCATCTATCTATTCTTCCCTTCTACCCTCTGTCCCTCCCTTGCATCCATTCATCCATCCATCCATCTTCTCCATTCCACAAACTCAGAGGACCACAATTCTGTACCACAGAATTCCACAAACTCAGAGTACCACTTCTGAGTCAAGTAGGCACTGCACTGATCAGTGGTAAAACTGATGAATTCAAGAGACTCTCTGCTTCAAAATAATTTATGCTTCATTCAATTCACAAAGGCCCAAGGGAATTGATGTATGTATGGGGGAGAGACAGTGATGCTTAAGAGAGCCACAGGCCTGGATGCAGACCCCAGCTCCCCTACTTACTAGCTGAGCTCCCTGGGTCCATTTCTCTCAGTCTCTGAGTCTTTGCTCCTTTTTAGTAGGAAGGAAATGTTACCACTTGTCTCATGTGTGGGGTGGCTGTCCAGACCTGCAGATGAGCTCACGGCTGTAAAGCACCGAGCTGCATGACAGGTGCATTGCAAGGGCTTGGTACGTTCTTTTCCCCTCCCCCGTGAGTTGCACGTGGGGTTGCCAGGTAAAATACAGAATGCCCATTAAGTTTGAATTTCAGTTAAACAGAGGAAATTTTTAGTATAAGCATGTCCCAAAGATTAGGCATCCTGTATGTGTATTTGCTCTATACCGTGGAGCTATGTGCTGCCCCTTTGGAATGGCCAGCCTAGAGCCAGGAACACTGCCCAGTGGGCTCTGTCACCACCCCCCAGGTGTCCCACGGGTGATCCGGAACTTCTCGAGGTGACTTTTAACTTCCAAATGTACTTCCAAATGTACTTGTACTGAAGTATAAGGAATACCCAGAACTTTGGAGGCGGGTGTGGGCATAACACATGCACGCAACAGATTCAGTCCTTCAGTACTTCTGTGCTGAGACAGGTGAACAGAAGCACAAGGAGTCTGTCTTCCTGGTGCTCACATTCTGGGAAGGGGATGCAGACGAGCGTGCCGGAAAGCACTGGGGGTCACACCCTGCGCTAAATGCTCTGAGACGGGGATTGAGGGCTGGGGTGGAGCCAGGGTGAGTTTAATTGATTCCGAGGAGTCGTGGCCCAACCAAACCGTACACCTCTTTCCCTACCCAGTGCTCCATCTGTCTGTCTGCTTCCCTTCATTCCCCAGTCCCAATCCCTACCTCCCTCAGGCCCTTTAGACTCCTTGGGCCCCAGAAATCTGCTCCCTCCTTTTTGGTCTCTGGAAAGCTGTGACAGCTTCTCTGATTTTTTTCCAATGGAGCGCATTGAGGATCACCTGGGAGGGCAGATCCAGTGACCTTTGATGCCTCGCAGAGTTGTGAACACCCACCCTTATGGCTCCTTAATTCATGCACAGATTTATTTAGATGTATGTATTCGCAAAGAGGAACACGTGGGACTCTTGTCTCATACAAATGGCAGGATGTCCTCTCCATGGGCCGCTGCTGGCTCTTCTCATTCCAGTTATGGGCGTTTGAACTTTTCCCATTAAGTGAGTTCACTAATGAGAGTAGGGGGAGTGCTGTCATCCAGGCAAAATGCTCTCGTGGGCGCAGGGCCATGCTCCTGAGGCTGACACGCAGTCACATACCATGTGTGGATGTGTGGAGCAATGAGAACCAGAGCAGGGGTGTGGGGAGGAGGGCCAGCCAAGCACAAATAGACTAGGTCTTGGCAGGGAGGGAGGGAAGAGAGCTATAAATAAGGTGCTTCCCTTCACCTCTGTCCTCTGGCTCCTAAATGGAGCTGCCTTCCCAGTGTTCCCAGTACCGTGTGGGCCGCTTGCTCCAGAAGGCTGCGGTGGGGGGATCTCACCTCCTCTCTCCCACTGGCCTGGGGAGGGATGCATGGATTTGGAAGGGCTGCCAGAGTATAGACAGTGGGTTGTGAGACTCAACTCCTCCCTCCCCCTTGGATAGAGGACCATGGCAGCTCTCTTACACAGAGAGGACGGAGAGTAGAAAATGGACGGCTGCTTAGGGGGAGGGAGGTATTCTGGGATTGGCCCTCTGAGGAGCCAGCTGAATACTTAGGGAGCAAAGCCTATGCATCCTCAGCCTATAAATGGGGGCAGGGCTAGGGGTGGAGACAAAGAACTGAGCAGGAGCCAAGGCTAAGCTAGGAGACCCATGCAAGAAGAGCCCAGGGCAAGACCAGTGCACACTGATTTGATTCAGAACATCGTATCCAAGATTAAAAATAAGCAACAGCCCCAGCTTTGGAGAAAGCACAATTTTCACAGTCACTGCCAGAACCTGGTGGCCCTGAAGGTTGGCTTTCCCCAGGGACTGCAAGTTCAGGATCATGAGACCGAGTTCAGCAATGACATATTCTTGCTCCGAGGTAGGACTGGGGTGGGGGTGGGGGGTTGGGACAGAGAGGGAAAAGTCCAGAAAGGGGTTCTATTTCTGAGGGACTTTTAGGCAGAGGCTCTCAGGAGGAACAAGAAACTGAAATTCATGGTGGTCCTGTGTCATTTCTGTCGGGCACCCTCCTGAAAGAGGGCGCAGTGCCAAGCCATGTTTCCTAGGTGACCTCAGGAAATAGGTTTGGATAGTAGGCCCCTCATCTGACCCTGGTTTTCCAGCCCTGGGGATTCCTATTTATTGAGTCTGATGTCTGATGGTGGGCCCATAGGTAGGCAGCTGCAGGGGTAGGGGTAGTGGTTTACAAGTTGGGAGCGGGTGTGTGTTTCTTTCTTTCTTTTTTTTTTTAAGATTTTATTTATTTATTTGACAGACAGAGATCACAAGTAGGCAGAGAGGCAGGCAGAGAGAGAGGAGGAAGCAGGCCCCCTGCTGAGCAGATAGCCCAATGCCAGGTATGATCCCAGGACCCTGGGATCATGACCTGAGCCGAAGGCAGAGGCTTTAACCCACTAAGCCACCCAGGCGCCCCTAGGTGTGTGTTTTTTTATACCTTGTTCCCCCAAATAGTTTAATACAGCACACAAGTGCATGTAAGACTTCAGGGTGCAGATGCTGAGTGAAGGAAGTGGCCAAAGGGAAGACCAGAGAAGATGTGTGGAGTCAGGGGTGCGTTCTTTGCTGGGGACCATACTGTGCTGGAAGGGCCATAGCCTTAACCCTGAGCTGCCTGGGATCCTCTGCCCAGTGGGAAATGGGTGTCCATGGGACCAAAACAAGCCATTGTTTTGAAGAAGCAGGGCCACCCAGAGAGCCATGTGACTTGTCTACCTGCAGAGGAGGGAGACACGTGCTCCTGGAAAATACCCTTCAAGATTCCTCGGCTGCATGCACGTGGTGCTAGTGTGGCCAATGCATGGGGCGGGTCTGAGCTGGTGTGGTACAGCCCCCACGGGCTCCGCCATGGCCTCCCCTCCCCTCACAGCTGGTGGCTGGGCCCCCAGGACTGGGGGGTCCTCCTGCGAGGGGCCCCCAGCTGAGATGAGGCAGGATAGGAGGCCTGGGAAGTAGAAATAAGGCAGCCTGTGCCTTCCTCTCTTGGGTGCCTGTGCCTCCCTCAGGGCTCCTGGCCTGGAGTCTGTGTCTGCGTGGCTCCCACGCTCTTGGCTGACGTGTGTTTTCAGTTTACCACGGCTTTCATGCTGTTCTGAGGGACGTCCACCTGCCATTCCTGCCACCAGCCACTTCAGTGTCTAAGTTCTCTGCCCCTAATGCCCAAGAAGATGTCCCATTTATTTTTTTCAGGGAGGCCACTTGGCCACCTTCAGGAGCAGGCAGGTGTCTCCGGAGCAGGGCCGCCGTGGTGCGAGCAGTAGAGGTGGGGCGACTGGGGGTGGACAGCGTCTCTGGTGCCCCCCTCACACCAGGCAAGGCTGTGGAGGGCACACGCCCCTCGGCCAAGGGGGCAACCCCCGGAAACCTGTCTGATACACAAGACGTGGGCCTCCAGGGGCTGAGCACACTTCGCTAACACGTATTTGCTTTCGGCACTTCCAGGGTAGGCGTGTGGATCCATCCCGCTGCCCCTCCCATCCGCCACCAGCGCTGCCCCAGACCCACACCATGGGACTGTGAAGGCAGACACTTCTGGGGGCGCCAGAGCAGCTTGCACGCTGGATGATGGGAGACGACAGACTCTCAGAACACCCCAAGCCCATGGAATTTCTCAACCTCTATTTGGGAGACAACCTGCAGCCTGGCCCAGGGGCGCACCTGAGGGACACGTGCAGCCTTCCCGACCCTCCCGAACCTCATGGAGAACAGACCTGGGCCTTGGAGCCTCCCGATTCTACGAGGCCAGATGCTCCCCCTGGGGGCTCCAGCATGGAGCCCCTGCATTTGGGGAGTAGCTCCTCCCAGGAGGAGCCCAGGCACAAAGCAGCGCCCCCCGGGTCACCAGGGAACAGCCATCCCCTGGGGAGCCCGAGGCAGAGCCAGAGCACGTCCACGCAGGTGGTGTTCTGGGCAGGCATCCTGCAGGCCCAGATGTGTGTCCTGGACCTGGAAGAGGAGCTGGAGAAGACAGAGGGGCTCAGGGCTGAGCTGAGGTGCTGCCTCCCCGCTGCCCCTGTGGAGCTCCCCGCTTTCCCCTCCAGCCCCGCAGGCCCCCAGGGCTCAGGCCTCCTCCCCAGCTCACCTGTGGATGACTCACCAGTGGATGAGGCCCCAGGAGGAGACAGCAGTGGCACTGAGGGGGAGAACCAGCACTCCCTGTGGCCCAGGGAGGGAAAGACAGACTCCTCCCCGGAGTGGGGTGCTGAGGAGGAGAGCCTGTTCTTTGACAATCCCCTCTTTTTGGAGAGCCCTTGCTCGGACAGTGCTTCTGGAGCTCGCTTGTCCTGGGGGCTCTCAGACTCCTGCATGGATGTGGGACCCAAGCCCGAGTGTCCCCACATCCTAGAGCCTCCTCTCCCAGGAGGGGGAGTCCTATGGGAATTGGACAGCGAGCTGGATTTGGGGGCTGGCACAGCTGATTCTAGCGGGCACACCACGCCTCCGTTCCCTGTACCCACCTACAAACCTCACTCTTTCTCGTGGCCTGTAGTGAATGAGGCCACCAAGGGGACCCCTGAAGCACCTCCTGACTGTGGGGAGACTGAGGTAAGCCGAGCCCTGGGGACCCACCCAAGACTGTGCGTAAGGACAGGGAAGGAAGGGCTATTCTCTGTGGTCACTGGGCCCAGAACACTCCTTTTCGATGCTAGGGCCTTTTGGAATCCTGAAGCAATATAGCAGAAAAGCAGGCCCAGTGTGGCCTTCAGAATTACAGGACATTGTACAAATGCCATGATGTCAACGGAACGTGCTGGCAATTAAGTCCACAAATGTCTCCATCTCAGCAGCTCCAGGGACTGTGTCTGGACACATTTGGAGAACAAACAGCTCCTCCAAGGCAGTGTGTTCCAGGCCATTCTTAGACTTGACCCCTCCCACCTCCAGGACTTTCCCAACCATAACAGGCCAGATGACCTCTGCCCCAGGCAGGAGATATCTGTTTTAAGAGTCTGGCCTTTTCTTGAGAGATTTCGGCATTTGGTTACTTTGAGTTCACCATCTTTCATTCCCACCCCTCCACCCTACTCCCCAGGGTGGATAGATTGGGCCCTCATGACAATGGCAGATATCCTCAATAGCAACTGGGCTGAGCTCTGGGGACAAATGACATGAGATGGTAGGGAGCACAGTTTTCCCAGGGAACATTCTGCTCAAGAGATAAGGAAACTCAAGATGGCAGAGTGGGACTATTACTTTCTAATCTCTCTGGTCCCAGAGAAAATGCAGAAGAGTCATTACCCAGAGTGGATCTCCTACCTGACCCTAAGATAACAGGAGCTGCTAGATACTGTCAGTGTCCCCCAACCCCAAGGCTGCAGTGTTGTGGCTCTGTCCCGTGAGAGTGCGTTCTTGTGATCTTGTTGCTCTAGGGTCCTTGGGGTCCTCAGGGAGATGCCTGGGAGCCCCATCCTCACAGCAAGTGGCTATTGCTCTGCCCCAGTGCCTGGGCGCTGTCACCCTCCCTATAATACAGCCGGTCCTTGGGCTGGTACTACAGACCACGGAGGGAGGAAGATGGGGACAGAGAAGACTGGAAATCTGTGAGCATGAAGGAGGGGCTCCTGAGGCCTAGCGGGGTACATTAAAAGCCCTAAGAACAGTTTCCCTTGGGTCAAACCTCTTGCCTCTCTTTCTCTCTAAGACTTCTCTGGGGGACAGTCTTGGCCCCGCCCCATCTGCAGCATCCAGTGTGGACAAAGTATTGACCTCGGAAACAGGACAAGTTGGATCTGACTCCAGCTCTGCCAGGCATCCTGTGCAACCTTGGGCAAGTCACTTCCCCTCTCTCGGCCTCCCCTTCCCCATCTGTATGGAGGAATGTGAGCCCCGGTGATTCTCGATTCTCAGGGTGGGCACCAGTACCCATAGGATGCAGGTCTTCTCTCCGGGGTTCCTCTTCTGATCTGAGGGCTCCGGATGAGACTGGGGCCCTGTTGCCAGGGTGGGAAGAGAACAGGGAGGGAGGGCCCTGGATATTCAAAGTCATTCTCCCCTATCCCCGTTCTCAGTGCCTCGAGGGCTCACGGAGATCCTGTGCCTCTCTCAACAGGCCCTGCCCAGCCCAGAAGGCTGGCAGATGGAAGAGGGTCCTTCCTGGCCTGGGGTGCCTCTGATTTCCCAGGACGAAGGTGAGACCTCTTATGGGCTCTGGGAAATTGGGTGCGGGAGGCTTTGGATCTGGGTGGGGGGACAAAGATTGTCCTTGGATCTGCAGACAGCATTGAGAAGTCCCGTTGTATCGTGTGGAAGGCAGACCAGGGGTGAAATCCTGCTTCTCTTATGACTTCATTCATGCAAAGGGTTTGAAAATGCTCATTTCGTAGAATTCATGAAGAAATGTGCCAAAGACCCAGCATTTCTGATGCCTGGGTCCTAGTGGTTTAGAAAGCCCTGAACCCTGGGGGTTGCCTGGGGTCTGGAGTCCTGGGAGCCTTCTGCCCGCTGCCTCCACATGTGGGAGGTCCCCAGCCGGAGGAGGGACAGAACGTGCTGCCCAGTTCCAGGGGGTGGAGCTGCAGGGAGGGAGCTTGCGGAGGTGGTCCTCCAGGCTGTTTTCCTGGCTCTGTGGGGCCCCTTGGCCTCAGCCTGCCTCTCACCCCATGTCATCTTTCCTCCATGTTCTTCCTCAGGTGACAGTGATGCTGAGTGTCCCCAGGAGTCTGCTCTGCGCACCTTGGCTCCTGGCCCCTGGGGGAGCCCAGCCTCATCGCCGGAGCCCAGCAGCCCCGAGTCTGAGAGCAGAGGCCCTGGCCCCAGGCCCAGCCCTGTGTCCTCACGGGAAGGCAGCCCATTGCCCCAGGGCCCCAACTGGTGCAGCAGTCTTCCCGAGCAGACGCTAGAAGCTTCATGCCCTTCACTTTTGGAGACAGATGGGGCAGAGCCAAGCTTTCCGGAGAAAGAGGAGGCAGGAGAGCCCCCACAGCCAGGCGAGGAAGTGAAGAGTGAAGGCCCAGCCGGGACTGCTAAGGCTGGAGCCGTCCAGCCTGGCGTGTGCTTGACCGCTGTGGCAGGGTAAGTGTCCGACGACCCCACTCTCTGGCTTCTAATTGTGGATACATTTAAGAATTCCCTGGCCTGGATGGAGCATGAGAAATGCCTGCTGGGATTTAATATACTAACATCGATTAAGCCAGGATTGTATGATGGGTGCCTGCAGCTTTGAGCAACACTGGAGGGTTGGAAAGCATGAGAAACCAAAAAGCAGACAGTTTTACACACGGGGCAGGATTTGCGCTTGGCAAGGCAATGCCCCAAGAGCCTGGACACCAGGAGAGAAGGGGGGGAGGTGTTTGAGGGCCCTGATGGGGGCTCTGTACCCAGAAAAGATGGGTGTCATGCTAAGCAGGGTAGGGAGTGGGAAGGTCAGAGTTTGTCATTGGGGGGGATGACACACTGCTTTGAACTTGAAGGAGGTGTCTGGGAGAAACCCATCGGTGAACCTTAGGCTGAGGGTATGGCTCAGATCTTGGGGGAAGGCCAGAACACCAAGGGCAGGTGTGACTGGAACCAAGGAAGTGGATCTCGGGACCCCACAGCGGGATCGAATGACCCCAAATCTGTGGCCAGACGCAGGAAACCAAGGGGACCATGGGGAAACCAAGCTAGATGTCTGCCTCCCTCCAGAGGCTGCAGGGGGCTGCCAGCACCTGGGGCCTCCACCTGGGAAAGGAGGGGACCTCCTGAAGAGGCAAGGGGGAACCGTGATTGTTCGGGTTGCACTAACTGGAGGGTCGCCCCCCCCCCCATCTCCGTGCCACGGGGTGATGGGGACAGAACCTCAGGCAGTCAAAACGAAAGCATCTCTCTCATGCATCTGGAAAACCATTCAGTCTCTGGAGGTGCTGGGAGGCTTGGGAATCAGTGGGGAGTCTTTCTGGATCTGAGAAGAGAGGGCTCATCATACCAAAACTAAAGTCAAGTTCAGCCCAAGAGAAAAGTAAGTAGATCCACCTGAAATGAGAACCATATATTCATAGTAAGTAATGAAAAAGGATCAATTAGGACTTTTCTTGCTAGGATGCTAAATATTATTACACAAAGAAGTTCAGTCTTATTTTCAGCACAATATTGGGCTAATTTTCCTGGCCCGAGTGTGCTGGTCCCATGGGAGCTCTCCTTTGTGCTTGACTGTCACAGTGAGGTCACAGAGGCTATTTTTATCATACTTTATTGTTTTATTTCATCCCAATCAATTAATTTGATTTTTAATTTTTATTTTTTGGAGGGGGAGGGGCCAAGAGAAAGGGGAAGAGAGAGAATCCCAAGCAGACCCCAAACCTCCGTTAATGAATTTAATCATAGCTTTATTGAGAAATAATTCACAGACCGTACAGTGCACCCATTTAAAGTACCCAATCCCATGACAGTTTATATTTGCATTATTTTTTTCCTCAAAAGCAACTCCCCATCTAGATACTATTTTTGTAACAACACTAATCCACGAGGTCATTTCTGGGCTCGCTCAGCGGATTATCGAACAGCGCTCTTCAGTTGTGACCAGTGTGTTGTCATTTTTCTGCTCTCCGACGGCCCACCGGACTAATGCCTCCGGTTCCTTGTCTGTCAGTGGCTTTTCCTGCGACTCCTAGAATCTTCTGGCCTCACTAACACAGACTTCAGGAAGCCCTGTGTTTTGGGGGGGCGAGATGTGTCTGTCCCTTTGCAGCGGGGTGCTGTTACACCCCCAGGAGCCTCAGAGAGGAGTGAGCTGTGAAGACACGGCCCAGGCGGGGGCAGAGATGGACGTTTGTGTTCGGGCAGAGGGACTGTCGGGTGTGGCCTCGTGTTATAAGCGTCGGTTTACCCGGGAACATTTGCAGGTGCTGCTGATGCTGCTCCTGTCCGGCTCCCTAACTCTGGTCACTGGGCTATGGAATATCCCAACACCCCATAAGGAGGATCCCCCAGCCCCGGTAGTCGGGTTGCCGGGGAAATGGAAGAGTCCGGCAGAGACTGGGCTTGGCTGCCTCGAAAGTTCTGAGTGTCAGATGCTGAGTGTCCCCCGAGTGTGTCAGAGGAAGCAACCTCTGACTGCCCTCCACCCCCGCCGCCGGCTGTCACCGTGCTTGAAGCCTGATCTCCCCTCACCCTTGCACCTTCCTTGGCTCCAGCTCTAGGAGGAAAACCTGGGGCTGGGGCAGGGAAGGGGAGGAGGGCAAGGGGGCATCATGAGCAGGGCAGGACAGGTGAGGGAGACAAGTGGCCGGTGGGGGTCGGGGACACCAGTGCCGTCCCTCCTGGGGATGGGTTCAGTATCACTGGCATCTTCAAAGGGCTGTACCTGCTGCCTGAGGTGAGTTAGGCTCAGAGCGTCCTTGTGGTTGACCTGAGAAGGCACCGTGTGCAAGCTTGGCTCCCGCCCTTGCCAGCCTGCCAGGTACGCCAGGTCTCTGGATCGTCCCAGTGCCCGGGCCTGGCCAGGCAAGGCCAGGCATGAGTTTCCCCAGTGAGGCCCTGGTCCAGCTGCTCCCTCCACCACTCCAGCTCCCCTGCTGATCACCCCTTCCATGACTGACCTGGAGGGACACTTGACCCAGTACCCCCACCTGTCCATCCCTCGTGGAAGTCTGAGGACACTATTGGACATTCGCAGGCTTCCCGAGAGCCCCATGCCCCAGGCGCAGTGCCCGGAGGAAGGCCAGAGGCCACAGACTAGAGACAAGCTGGCTAATGGTGTCAGCAGCAACAAGGTGGCCTGGAACTTGGCCTCTCGCCTCTATCACCTGGAAGGCTTCCGGAAGTCTGAAGTGGCCTCCTACCTGCAGAAGAAGTAAGGGGATTTGACCCTGGGCAAGGCTGGAGGTTGTGTCGGGAGAGGGAGGCACGGTCAGCAGACTCTGTCCACCGGCCGCCCCACTGCTGACCTTCATCCCCTCATTCCTGTCCTAATCCGTCCCCGGGCAGTGCCTGCCTCTTCCTCTTAGTCCCACTTGTCACCCCTTCTCCACACTCTTGAGCCCTGCCTAGAGCCATTGGGCCTGGCCACCTTGGCCCCTGACCCAACTCCACGTGTGCTCCTCACTCAGCAGTAGACGGGTGCCCACAGCAGACCAGACCCTGGCTGCTCCCTCGCCCTCTCACCCTCTGGGGATGTGCACGGGTCCTGGGGCCCCTTGGCATCTGCGGTCCCAGCCCAGACAGCCCCCCTACCCCCCACTGTGGGCTTCATTCCTATTTCCTCTCACAGCAATGACTTCAGTAGGGCTGTGGCTGAGGAGTACTTGTCCTTCTTCCAGTTTGGAGGCCAGAGCTTGGACCGAGCCCTCCGGTAAGGCCTCCAGGCCCTCTCTGGGGAGGAGGGATGACTGGGAGGTGGTAGCCCCGGTGAGGCCAGAATCTGATTGGCCCCCAGCTCTGGAGCCTGCTGGCTGCCCCAGCCTGGGCCCTGTCCTGGACTCTGGTCCTCCTTCCAGGGGCTTCCTCCAGGCCCTGGTGCTCAGCGGGGAGACTCAGGAGCGGGAGCGAATCCTCTACCAGTTCTCCAAACGCTTCCATTACTGCAATCCGGGGGCCTTCTCCTCTGCAGGTAGGGAGGGGGCGGGCCCTGAAGGCAGGGCATGCTGGGCTGCCTTGGGGGATGGCATGGAAGTGTCCCCTGGGTCTGCTCAGGCATTTACTGGGTACCAGCTCATGGGCGTGTGTTTGGGGGGCTACGGAGACCCAAAAGCATCTGCGGTCACCCCACCCAGCCTGGGCAGCGGAAAGGCAGGAGTCCTGGTTCTAAGGAGCTTTCTCTCCACTTGCCTCCCTCTGGGACAGATTCCGTTCACACCTTGACCTGTGCCATCATGCTCCTCAACACGGACCTGCACGGACAGGTGAGGGCACGGGGGAGCTTGAGGCCAGAGGCCTGGGGTGGGGTCATGGAAGGGCTCTGGGGGAGGTAGGTCTGGAGAACTGGAGAAGGTTCCAGAGTGGCCAACGGTGGTGGGGGGAGGTCTTCTGTGGGGGTGGGGAGTGTGTTCCTGCTGCCTCACTTCCCTCAATGGCCACAGAACATTGGGAAGAGCATGAGCTGCCAGGAATTTATCACCAACCTGAACGGCCTGCGAGACGGCGGGAACTTCCCGAAGGAGCTGCTGAAGGTAAGGCACACGGGGCTATTCCCTGGGCTCGTGATACCGGGGCTCCCCCTGTAGCTCTTTATCCCCGCCGAAGGTGGGGGCGATGCTCAGCCTGGGCCTGGCTCTGCTGCAGTGTCCTCGGGAGGCCACGGCCGGTGTACGGAAGGTACTAGAGTGTGCGTCCCAGCTGCCAGCGGCCACACCTTAGAGTTTGTCGGCTTGTGCAAACTCGTAGGCTCCCCTGCCTTGGACCTACTGAATTAGAATCCCTGGGGCTGGGACCCCTAAGATGTTCTCTGGAGTTTCCAGGTGATTCTGAGCATGGGGAGTCTTGAGATGCACTGGGTCTTTGGTTCTCGGAATGAGCAAAGAAGAGAGTTTCAAGTGCCAGTAAGTCTAAGACTTAGAAGCCAGATGTTCTAGGGTTTGAACTCTAGTCTTGGGCAGCTTACCCCCTGGCCTGCTCGAGTTCCTCCTGGGGTAGCGACTACATTACGATGTGGTGCTCACAATGAAATAAGGGTCATCAGGGGCCTAGCACAGCGCGCGGGGCACACGGCTGGCTTTTCATACGCAGCGATGCGCTGGTTCTTTTGTCTGTGTGGTGGATGTTTCTAGAACGCTTGCTGTGTGCTTGGTGCCCTGCTAGACATTGCCGGGGCTAAAAAGGCAAGCAAGACTGCATGGACATGAATACTCTGTTAGATCATTTCCAAGTCCCAATGCCTCGTTGACTCATTACTTCACCATCCATTTGTTGCCTGCCCCCCCCCCCCACCTTGGTGGGCTGTTCCTGCTCTGTCCCATCCCTCAGGGCAGGATGGTACTGGATGATTCATTTCCTTTCCCAGAGAACTAGTTCAGGCCTCCCTAAGCTCAGGGAGGGACTACGATTGCTTTGCTCATCCTGTCTGGAGCGTCTGCCACGGTGCCTGGCACATGGCCGCTCCGTCAGTGGCTGCATGCTTGCACACGTGGGTAGCTGGATGCATGTGGGAGCTGCTTCCTGCTCAAGGAGGAAGGCAGCTGTGCTGGGGGTAGAAGAGGCAGACTGTAGCTTGGCCCTGTCTGACCTGGGCCAGCCAGAGTTTGGGCCCCATGGGCCGAGGCTCCCTGCCCACTGTGTGCTTCTGTTCTAGGCCCTCTACTGGTCTATCCGAAGTGAGAAGCTTGAATGGGCTATGTAAGTGACAGTTCCTCTTCCCTCCACCCCCTGCCCCTCTCCCCTGTCCCTGGGCCTGTCCTCCCTCCACCTGCCTACCTGAGAGTTGCATGAGCCTGGGAGAGGTGCTGGACAGTGTTCCCCTCTGAGCGGGGTCAAGCCAGAGGCCAGGCCCTGGGCGAATCTCCAAGGGGTGAAGGAGCCCAGGTAACACCTGGAGAAGTCAGGGGCCGTGGGGGGGGGGTGGGGATGACAGGAATGGATGGGCTGGCTTTGAAGAACTCATTTTTGGGGATCCTGGGGTACAGGTACATGGGCACCTCCTGGTGGCCTCTGCCTGTCAGTACCCCCAACCTGATTCTCTGATGTCCAGGGATGAAGAAGACGCAGGCCGACCAGAGAAGGCGCAGGTGTCTCCCCCAACTGGCAAGCTGAGCAACCCTTTCCTGCAGCTGGCCCAGAACCCCACGGCGCCCACCTACAAGCAGGGCATCCTGGCCCGGAAGATGCATCACGATGCGGACGGCAAGAAGAGTGAGTGTCTGCTGCCCTGTGGCATGGAGGGCTCGTGTCTGCCACCAAACCCAAATGTGTGCGTGCCTGCGGGAGTGCGGAGCGGCTTGGCGCAGGTGACCGGGGGGCTGGGGTGCAGAGGGATGGCACGGTCAGGGTCAGGGACAGGCAGCCTTTGTTGCTTCCTTGATGGGGATCATGTGCTGGGCACCGGGTAAGATGCCAGGGACAGGGGTTCAGAGACAAGACATACCTAGGTACTCCCTGCTCCCCAGGCCCCCGTGGTAAGGGGGAGGTTAGGTGAGCACATCAGTGACTGGGATAAAAGGTGGAAATGGCTGAGGGGTGTAGGGAGGGGGAGATCAAGTATGGGGGTGTGGAGGAGGGGCAGGCTTTGATTAGACTTGGGGGTGAGGTGTGGGGACAGAGATGGGTGAGGCTTCTGGGAAATGATGGTATCTGAGCCGAACCTTGGTGGAAGAGGCCAGAGGGCATCCCCCCCAGACAAAGCAGCAGGCATAGTCTGCTGGGAACAAAACGGCAGGAGGTACATCTGGCCTCACTGCGGACAGGTGCAGGCTTTATAGCAGGGCAGCGACAGGACCAGAACAGTAATGGGGTCCTGGATGGATCGGACAGGGTGAGGTAGCCGGCCGGGGAACTAGCATTTGGCTTCAAGAAGCCACAGGGCCTGAGCAAGGTGGAGAGGTGACTCCGGAGAAGCCTGCCTTCTTCTGCACGAGGAGCTGAGCCCCTGTGCCTCTCAGGATGGGACCAGAAAGACATCTGGTGGCAGTGTGCTTGTGGGTGGGAGTGTCGAGAGAGGGGACAGTCGGTGTGGACATCTGCTTTTGTTGTTGGTGGGGCTTGAGTGCAACTGCCAGGGTGTGAGGTGTGGCACCTGCTTCTTTGTGACTGTGTCTTATGGTGCTGGCATGTTGCTGCATGTTTATGTGCACCTGGGGAGGGATGAAGTTGGCAGGGAGAGGGGGTCGTGTGTGTCTGAGTCTGGTTGTGTTCTGCTCCTGGGGCAGCGCCGTGGGGCAAGCGCGGCTGGAAGATGTTCCACACGTTGCTTCGAGGGATGGTCCTTTACTTCCTGAAGGTAGGAAGGGGGTGCATGGCCCTGACAGGCAGGGCAGGGAAGGGCCCAGAATGGTTCGGAGGGTGGGCAACTGATGATTACCTCTTTTCTGAGCTCCTGTGCCGCACCCCCCACCCGGCAGGGAGAGGAGCACTGCCCCCCGGCAGGGGAGAGTTTGGTGGGACAGATGGTGGACGAGCCTGTGGGGGTGCACCACTCGCTGGCCACACCGGCCACCCATTACACCAAGAAGCCGCATGTCTTCCAGTTGCGGACTGCCGACTGGCGCATCTACCTCTTCCAGGCTCCGTAAGTCCCCGGGGGTGGGGGGGTGGGGGGGATGGACCAGCAGCAAGGCCCCGGCTTGCCTCTCCCGGGTTCCTCACTCATCACCCTCTGATGGCTGCTGGCCGGGGCCATGGTGGAAGCGGGAGAATGCTGGTGGCAGAGGTCCTTGGGCCGCACCTGCTCCCCCGACCCCGCCCACTTTGCCTCCGACCGGGCCTCTTCCCTGGTCCAGCGCCTGGTCGAGCCTCCTACTTCTGAACCCAGGATTCCAGGAAGCCTCTAGTGATCGATTTTTCCCCCCATTTGATCTAAAAATCTACCGCCTTCCTAGATTTTCCTTTTTGACGGATGATAAAAGCCACCAGCACAGGTCAACTACCTCGACTGGTGGGCGGGCTTCTGGCTTTTTGAAGCGCTGAATCCCGAGTCTGGAAGGCTGTGCAGACCATAGGAGGTTGGGGTGGGAGTGGGGGGAGAGGGGCAGGGCCGACTCTGTCACCTTGGGGTCTGACGGTCTCCTCTGCCCTCAGCACCGCGAAGGAGATGAGTTCCTGGATCGCGCGCATCAACCTGGCCGCGGCCACGCACTCGGCGCCACCCTTCCCCGCCGCGGTGGGCTCCCAGCGCCGATTCGTCAGGCCCATCCTGCCTATAGGTCCCGCCCAAAGCTCCCTGGTACGCGGGCTCCGGAAAGGGTGGGTGCGGCGGGAAAGGGGGCTTCTAGCCCCGGGGAAGAAGTGGGAGATGGGAGGGCGGGGCTGCGCGCCTGGCTTAGGAACCCGGAGAGGGGTGGGCTGCACACTGGGCCCGGGAACCAAGGGAGGGTGGGCGGGCTGCGCGCCTGGGTCCAGAACGTTGAGGGATTTGCGGTGGGCTGCGCACCTCGGGCTGGGAACGGATAGGGGTGCGGTGGGACAGCTTCCCTCTCCGCCTCCCGGTCCCAGGAGGAGCAGCATCGATCCCACGAGAACTGCCTGGACGCCGCCTCCGACGACCTGCTGGATCTGCAGAGGAACTTACCGGAGCGGCGGGGCCGCAGCCGCGAGCTGGAGGAGTACCGCTTGAGGAAGGAGTACCTGGAGTATGAGGTCAGGCTGCGGAGTCTCCGCCATCGCTGGGCTTTCCCACGCCCTCGGCTGGGCCCTCTGCTGCCCTCTCGTGGCCGCATCTGGCCTTGCAGCCTTCGTTCCCCAGGGTTGCTCAGGGCTGGGGGAGGCCCCGTGTGCGAATTCACGTGTAGGGCTGTGCGCAAAGTGTGTGCGTCCGTGTGCACTCAGACCCCTTTACTTCTTGTCCTGGGGGCTCATAGAAGCTGCTTTTCTGGAAACACTCACAGGAGACGTTTGATCAGTTTCTTTCACCTAAGAGTGTAGTGTACTTGGCTTCACTTAAATTGAAAGAAAAACTGTGATTTTAGTTTAATTATTTCCCCTAATACCTGCCTAGTCCTAATAGGCAGTATTTATGGCGTTTGTCATACTGCCTGTATTACCTTGTTTAGTTGTCTAACAACTGCCGTAGGGACCATGATCTTCACTTTACAGGGGAGGACACAGGCAAGGAGGAATGAAACAACGTGTCCAAACCCCATGAATTCACATCCTACTCCAGTCAGGGCTGTACCTCATTTATAGCCTTCACCAAGGACCTTTTCACCCCTCTGATTGATGCTGCACTGTTTTATCCCCTGACCCCCCATTGTATCTCCCCATCCCCCCTTACACCTTATGCCTCTGGTCAGTGTGCACATTCTGGGACCTGAAACAGGAGGGGCAAGGTGAGGGGCAGTATGAGAACAGAGAGGGTCAGAGCCACCCAGAGGCAGAGACCAGAGAAGGGAGCATCTGTGTCATTTCTGGCTGTGTGTGCTGGGCTTTGTGCTGTCCCCTCCCTGCCTTTGTGGCCCAGCCTTTGGCTTGGTAGGTGCACTGCTTCCCAGAGGTCCTGGGGGGACAGGACCCAGCTCTGCCTGCAGAATTCTAGCCTCTCCCTACCTATGACCAGCTGCAACCTGTAGCAAACCCAGGCCCTCCCTAGACCTCATTGCCCTCTTGATCAAGTGGAGACAAGGACTCCTGGGCCACCCAGCCACCCAGGGTGAGCAGGCACTTACTACACTGGGACCCTATCCGAAGGCTGCTAGTTACAGAGGCCTTCCGAGTGTTAAACAGATGAAGGTAGTTAGCATCCCGCTCTCCAGATGCCAATTGTTAAAATGCGATTCAGACTCAATTAGGCTTCAGTACAGATGTGAGCTGTTTGTGTGCAATGCCGCACAGATCAGGCCTAGCGGGTTATGGATCTTTTAGTGTCTTGGGGATGAAACACGTTCTGGAGACATTAGTTACAGTGCTACAAGGTGGAGGCTGTTAGAACAGGGCTGGGCTGGTGGGTGCTGTTAGAATCCTGTCCAGGTAATTGCAGGATTTGGCGATGTGGCTGCCGTGTTCTGCAAAGTTGGCTTTCTCAAGCTCAGTGCAGACACTGGCTGTGGGTCCAGCCCTCTTTCTGCAGAAATCTTTACTGTCAAGAGCTTTGTACACGTGGGAGAGGTCTGCCCTGCATGTTTCTGGCCTCCTCCTGTGCAGAAGCCCGGCTGGTGTTAAGGGGGCAGGGCCGTGTATTGCAGAAAACCCGCTATGAGACCTACGTGCAGCTGCTGGTGGCCCGTCTGCACTGCCCCTCGGATGACCTGGACCTGTGGGAAGAGCAGCTGGGGAGGGAAGCCGGAGGCGCTCAGGAGCCCAAGCCCAGCCTGAAGAAGTCCCACTCCAGCCCATCCCTGCACCAGGAGGAGGCCCCCACCACGGCCAAGGTGAAACGCAACATCTCAGAGCGCAGAACTTACCGGAAGATCATACCCAAGAGGAACCGCAATCAGCTCTGAAGCTGGGATGGCTTCACAGACTCAGACCCCGAGTTCTGGGGTGTAGAAGTGGGGGAAGGGACCTGAGATGAGACCCCATGGAGGAGACTTGCTTTAGTGGGTCCGCACTGGGGAGGAGGCCCTCCCTTTCCTGCTGAAGGACAGCCCCTGCTCCTCTGCAGTCCTCCCTGCAGCTTTCCCGCTACTGCTGTGCCCACCCCCACGGCAACCCGCAGCTGCCCTCGTCCCTGCTCACTCCCAAGGGAGGACAGAGGTCAAGGGGTGGGCTGCACTCCCATGTCACCCTTCTCTGTTCCACAGTCTAAAGTGGCCACATTGCTTGGGCCTGGGGGCAGCTCAGCACTCATTTGAGAATCCAAGAACCCGCGGGCCCTGAGCTTCCAGAAGGGAGGCTGGGGCAGCAGAAGCCTCTGGGCAATCAAGCCAGGGGAGCCACAGCCCTGAGGACAGTCTTGCTCTGGGAGTCAGGTGGCCTGGGGTGAGAGGTCCTGGGAGACCCCAGGCAGCCTCAGGTGACTGAGAGAGCAGGGTGGCTCGGCCCTGCCCCCTGAGAGGTAGGGCTCCTGGGGCTTCGAGGACAAACTCAGTGATGCTGACTCTGGGGCCCCAGGCCTTTGTATGCTTTCCCCCACAATCACCCGTGCACCTGGGGCAGATGGGAGAGGCCACACCCCACACACCCAATTGCTAATCATCAGAGCAGAACCATTGGTGGTCAGTGAAGGCCAGAGGGCATGGGGCCTCCAGAGCTCTGTGGAGAGCCCTGGGAACAAGGGGCCTTTGTTTCCTCAGAGCAGGGAAGGAGGTCCCTCAGGTTCAGACCTGGGAGAGGCTGAGGGGCAAGAGGCCATGATATATCCCCTGGGGGCCCTCTTGGAAGGAGCTGGTCTGGGAGCTGTGAGGGCCGGGTGGAAGCCTGGCTGCCTCCCACGCAGCCCATCCCACGAAGTTGCATTCCCAAGGAGGGGCACCAGGGACCCTTCCAGAATCCCTCACCCCCCTGCCAGCTCTCAGGGGGCTTTGCTGCCCTTCCTGGGAAGTCCCCCTGTGCTGCCCTCTGGCTGCCTCCCAGCTGGGCTCTGGGGGAGGTTCCGGACACTGATGGACCTCGGGCTCTGCCTGTGGGAAGGAGGCTGGGATGGAGAAGCAGCCACCATTGTCTCTGTTCAGCCAAGTGTGCGAGCAGGCTGCCTGCCAAGAGGGGCCTCTGCTGCCCGGCTGCCGCCTGCTGGCTGACGCACGGCCTCTCCAGCCTTCCTGCTGGGGCCCCTCTCCTCCCATCCATGCTAGAAACCAGCCCTGGGGCCTGGAAGGCCACCAAGTGGGGCTGGCCCTTCAGAGACCACAGGGGTTGTCTGGACAGGGCTCAGCTCAGGGCAGGGCCGGGTACTCAGTCAGTGTACAGTAACTGCAGGCCAGTGAAGAAGGAGGTGTGCATGTGTGTGCGAAAAACCGAGGGTCAGGGGGATTGGCGCAGCTGGGACCCCCTGCAGGATCCCAGGCTGGGTCTCCCTTTGCCCGGGCACCTGTGCGCGTCTGAATGTGTGTGTCCGTGTCCGTGTGCGGGTGTGGAACACTGTGTGCAGGCTGTCAGAGCCTCGGGACCTCGGAATCATTTGTTCACCCACTCACTCATTCGTTCATTCATTCATTTCACAACTGATATTGATCACTTTTTATGGAACCTGCCTCTGGCCTCCAGGAGGTAACAGCCTGTCCTCTGGTTCCTTGCTGTTAGGGCAGAGGCACACTTCGTCTTGCTGGAGAGGCATGCAGAAGACACATTCCCACTCTGCTCAGGGATTCGGATTCAGTAGGTTGGGGTCAGAGGCACGGATAAATATTTTTAAAGCAGCTTGGGTCACTGATGTGCAGCTAATAGGTGAAAACCTAGTATCAGATCGAGGTGACTTGCCCCAGGACTGATACAAGCTTGGCCTTGAGTGGGTTATTTGACCTCACTGAACGTGTATCCTTCTTTCTAAAACCAGAATAAAAGGCAGAGGTTTGTCTGCATTTTTGCATGTATGTGGCAGTTTGATGCTTCTTTGCTCATGTGGGACTGGCACCTGTCTTTCACCTGGGCACCTGAAGCCTTCAGAGACAGATGGGGGCCGTGGGACCCCACCTGGCCAATGCAGCTAGGCGCGGCTTGGACCAGAGGCCTGGGGAGGAAGGGAGGGCGAGGCTAGGCTGCAGTTCTGACATGCGACCACTGGGAGGCGGGCTTGCATCTTTCAAGCTTGTGTGCTCAGGTGTCCAGGGGCAGAGCTCTGCTCCCTGAAGAAAAGGAAGTTAGTCTGTTTGTCCCCAGGAATCACCAGAACCAGGACCTTCCACTTCCCTAAACCCACAGTGGTCCAAGCCAGGCCCCCCAACTTCTGGAGAAGTCAGCCATGGGAAGGGTTGCAACTCTGACATCTTTCTGCAGATGGAGAAGAAAAAGAGTTTCTGGAGCCATATGGGGGCAGCCTAGAGTTCCCGCAAAGAATTGTCCCCACAAAAGTGAACACTGAGTGAGCTCCCAGTCCCACTCCTGAGGTGTGGGGCAGATGTGGCCCACAGGCGTATGTCTGACCTTGTGTCCACCCTCGCTTCCTTTCCCACCTGGGAAGTGGGTTGGTGCATCTCTTTGCAGACAATGGGACGGGCACAGGTTCTTGGTGACTAGCTCAGGCTCTGTAAGGCTGGCTGGTTTGTCTCTGGCTCCTCCTTTCCCTTCTAGGGGGACTCAGCCTCTGGGACCCTGGGCCTGCCGTGACCCAGGTGATACCCCAGATGTAATCTCTTCCTGGTCTCCCAGCATCTCTGTTTTGTGTGGCTTTCTGCTGATAACATTTATTTGCTGGTTGTTTGATGGGTACCAGAAAAGAGCAAAAGACCGCTGAGGCCCAAGGCTTGGGTCCTTTCCTTTTGGGGGGGTCAGAGTCCGATGGTGACAACAGATGGGCTATAATGGAAGAAGCAGGGCTGCAGGACTGGGGTGAGGGTGGGCAAGGGAAACACAGCAGTGGGGGGGTGGGGCCTGGTCACATGGGACCTTGCCTGCAGCCCAAGGGTGTGCTTTTCCAGCAGGAGAGGCCCAGACTCGTGGCTTGACAGCCAGCCAGCCAGCCTGGGAGTCCTGCTTTAAGAAAATGAAATGACTTGAGTGAATAGGGCCAATAGGGAGAGTCGGAATGGGGCCTGGAGACCCTCTGTACTACCTGCGCAACTTCTTTTAAGTCTAAAATAAAAAATGAAAAGGGGGTGAAAAACCAGTGGCCTGGAAATTAGGACAACCTGGCAATCCGCCATCAGGCCCTTCTCCCTCCCTGCCCCCTGCCCCCAGGCGCATGCCTGCACATACTCACACGTACTTATGGCTTTCCTGAATGCCACACTCTCCACGATGGCTCCTCCCCTCCGTCTCTCCATCAACTCTTCTGGATGTCTCTGCCCCCTTGCCATCTCACTGTGGCTTACACCTTTACCTGTCCTTTCCTCTTCCCTTCTCTAGCAGAAGAGGTGCTCACTGCGTTCTTGGGACCGACCTCCTCCCTGAGACCACACACCACCTCTGCTTCTCCTGCCTGCCGTGACCTTTCTCCCTCAGGGCTTCCATCTGGGTCTTTGGGCCTACTTTTACCCCCTTCTTATCCCTTGCAAACAACTTCCAGTATATCGCCCACGCAAGGAAAAAGAAAAAGAAAAGCGGGCATTTGACTCCTTGCTTCTTGTAGCTGAGACCCACAGATGTGTGGTCTTCGCCTGCTGTTTCTCTCCCTTGCCTGGGTCCTATTCACACCTGGCTCCTGTTCACACCTGGCTCCCATTCACACCTTGCAAACTGGTTTCTGTGGTACTCATCTCTGAAATGGGGACATACCAGAAGGGCCACTTGTGACCCTTAATCATCAAATCCAGTGTCTTCTCAGCCTTCATGCCCCTCACCTCTCAGTGACCTTTGACCCAGAGACCTGCCTAGCCCTGCACAAGGCCCAGCATGATCTGGTCTCAGCAGCTAGAACCTGGAGTTGGACTGCCCCCGTGGTCTGTTTTCTAGCCATCTGACCATGGGTCAGTTACCTACCCTCTTATACTCCGGATTGCTTCTTTATCAAACAGGGATAATAACACTATTTACCTCACAGAGTCCTTGTGAGGAATAAGTAGAATTATGCACGTCAACATCTCAGAACAATGCCTGGCACTGAAGGAAAGCCTAGCAAGTTAGCTATTAGCTCACGGCCTTACTGGCCTTACCCCATGCACCCTCCCCTCCTGGGGGCCCCGCTTGGGTTCTGCTCTCCAAATGCAAGGCCTTGGTTTTTCTTCTGCCTGGAAGTTGCAAGTAACAAATCTGAACTCAAATGGACTTTAGCCAAAAAAAGAGAGGACATTTCATCCCTCCCATAATGAGTCGCTCTATATCCAGGTCAGGTGAGGCTTGAGCGAGGGCTCTGCACTGAGCCTGGCCCTGCTCTGTTCTTCTGGGCTCCATCTCCCAGGCTAGGAAGCAGGAGGAGCCCTCGTGGTCCCAAGATGGCCCCAGAAGCTACCAAGTGGCCCTCTTCTTGGTGCCAGTCTAACACAGAGAGACCATCTGCTTCTTGGGAAGTTCAAACTCAAGTCCAGCAACAGAGTGTCTCTGAGCTGCCCACTTTGAGCCATGTGCCCATCTCTGAGCCAATCACCAGGGTAAGGGGCTTAGGATAGGCAGAGTCCGCCTTCTGAGATGGGGTGGTGGTGAGGCCGTATCACACAAAGGATGGAGACTGGGACCAGCTGTGGAGAAATTCTGAGTACCACTGGTACCAGGACGGGGAGGAAACCAACTGTATCTGGATGTCATCTCCTCCAGGAAGCCTTCCTTGATCTCTGCTCCCCAGTTAAGTCTGTAACTTTCTACATCCCTCCCTTCCCCTGCTATCCCCCCATTCCCTTCCCTCTTCTTTCTGTCTCTGCTCCCAGTGGAACAGACGCTTCCCAAGGGGAGGAGCTGGGCAAGCTGGTTCCCTTTGCTCAGGAACCAACACCTGCAGTCCGAAAGTGTAACTCTCAAAGCTGTATCCCCCTGGGCTTCTGGCCTCCATGTTCTCCTGGTTCTTCTCCCTTCTTCCACGTTCTTTCTCTGTCTTTCCTCTGCTTTTTCCTCCTACCCCTGAACTCAGTCTTCCCCCAAGGTACAGCTTTCGGAGGCCTTCAGGATAGCTTCTCAGAAAGCCTCCTGATGTAAATAAACCTTCAGCTCTGATCTCTGCCCTGGCTTTCGCCCCGGAGTTCTAACTGGGCAGGACTCAGCCCTCAATATTCTTCCCGGAGAGGATAAGTTTCCATACAGATGTTACTTATTACACATAAGACTGGATTTAGTGTCGTCCCCCTAAACCTGTCCCCTTCTGACTCCCCTGTTTCTATTAATGATTCTGTGACAGTTCTGTGACTTGAGAGGTGACACACCAGGATTCTGAGGATATTTGAGCCAAATGGACCTTTGCCTCACCTTTGGTGTCAGGCGGAAGCTTCTGGTTTTCTGACGTCTTTGTCTCCGTCTGGTGTGACACAGACAGGGTCTGGAGGAGGTACATGGACAGAAAAGCGACGACTCTCTCAGTCAGGTAAGCAACCGTGAAACCCTTCCACTTGGCCACTGCCACGAGACTCAAGGCCGATCTCCAGCTCAATGGGGGCTGCTCAGGGCTGCTCACTCTGCATTTTCTGGGGTCCCAATACTTTAGTTCTTATTTGTATTTTCCTAATTTATTGCATGCATTTCCTGTGAGCTGTCTCAAATCCTCTCTGGAACAAGGTGGGGGAATACATTAATATTTAAAATAAAATAAACAAAATGTTAGTGTGTGTGTGTGTGTGTGTGTGTGTGTGTGTGTGTGTGTCTTAGGCTGGAAATTCCTTAAGGGCAGGGACCATGTCTGTTTATATGGCACCTGGCACAGTGTCAAATTGAAGCTTAACAAATGAATTTTGATGAAGAGGGAGAAAGAAGCTGCGTGCAGGAAGATACGGAGATTTAAACTTCACCCTCCAGCTACCCCCCAGCCAAAGTCCCTTTGGCAAGGAGCGCCCTTCCTCACTCCGTTCCTGACCATCCACGTTCCCTCCTGTCATTCCTGCCCTGTGACCTTCCTCATGACCAGCCCTGTCCTCACCCAGACCCTGCTGTCTTGCAGCTGTTCCCCTTCCTCACACAAACCCAGCCCCAGTCGCACCTCACCCAGGGCTTCGCCCCGAAACACCCAGCACCCCCCCTTCACCCTCCACCCACAGGCTCAGTGGAGGCCGGGCAGCAGCGCATGGTGCTAGGGACCGTCACCGGCAGAGAGGTTAGAGGTGCTGTCCCCACTCGTGCCTTGGCCCCATGGGGGCCTCCAGCCAGGCGGGGACATGGCTGAGGGAGGGAGAGGGTAAGCCGCTTCAAAACTCCAGATGCAGCAGTTAAAAAGAGGACAGAGGCAATGATCCTTCAAATTGCCACATCTGTATAATCTGCCTTTTATTTTCTGCTTCATGAAGTTTTATTTCCTATTATTTATTCACCTCCCCGCCCTCCCCTCCCCCGCCTCCGCTCCTCCTTAGCAGGCGACATGCTCAGATGGGCCCTGAGCCTTGGCCTGGGTCTCAGCCCACCCCCACCCAACTCCCACCCCGGGCCTGCTGCTGAAAGAAGGCACCTGCTCCCCCTTCTAGGACGCCCCCCCCATCATTGTGCTACAGCCCCTATGGGCCTCTCCCTACACCCTCCAAGTGGGGCTTGGCTGCAATGCGCTTGTGGGGGAAGGGATCGGGGAGGGGAGGCCTGTCCCCCAAGACTGCTGTCTCTGTCACGAACACTTAGCAGAAGCTCATGGGAAAGAACCACCCAAGGACCTAGAACTCACAGCCAGCTGGAGTCTCCGTCCCCATGTATCCCCTCCCTGCTCTCCTATGTCTCATTTCCTACCTTCCACACCTCTCCCTCCTCCTTTCCCTTCTGCTCCTACAAGCTGTGGTTGGAGAAGGGGGGGGCAGCCTGCTGAGCTGGGGAGGGA